AAACACACCTGGCAATGTTAGTTGTTGTTGATTTTGTTATTCCTATTTCTAATACTACGATCACCCGGGTTGCAAGCGGCTTTAGAGGCATGTTTAGGCCATGGCAGGGTTAAAGAGCTTCTGCAAGACTCCACATGATGGGGATGCAAATGGTGACCGTGCCCGCCTGATGCACTCTGTGTGAGCAGAATGGATGGACTGTGCTTGCCAGGGAGGAGGGAGGGACAGTACACTCCCACTTCTAAACCAAACCGGAGGTGTCAAAGGCCAGATCTGAGGCTGGCCAGCCACTGGGGCTACCTGCTTTTCTAAGATCTGTTCTATGGAAAAATGCTGCCCACAAAAAGATCATGCTTCGTGCCAGATTAAACACTGCAGACTTAGTTAATAACAAGTTACTGGCCATAAAAGAGGGAAAAAAAATCCATTATTCTGAAATCTAGCTTTCGCTGCAGAATCAAGGTGTTTTGACTAAGACTTCGGTGACACGCACCTTCACTCATAGACTGGGATTCTAGGGTCTGAAGATACACAGATAGTTCAGAACACTGCCTTCTCAAAAGACTGCTGAATTTTCTAGCAAAATTTGAGTGCAACAGTGAGGGTCAGCAGTAAAAGGACCGATTACCAAGCCTAGTCAACACCATGTCCTTGGTGATGTGTGTCCAGCACAGGATGTGAAGGGCTATTTAGGGTGTGCTCCAGTGATGAACAATGAAGCAGTGCTATGAATATTAGCTACCGTCTCCCTTCCACACTGATGTGTCTGACAGATCCATGGAAACACAGGGGGCACAAAATGGCTTTCTTTAGTCCCATTTCTCATGCTCTTCTCAGGCTGGTTAGGAAAAAGGGGACCCACGGGAGCAGTTTCAAACCTAAAAATGCGAACCTGCACAGCTGCTGGATGCTGGGAGATACCGAAATCCAAAACATCCCTAGAGGCCAAAACCATGCACCAATATGTTTGGGATGAGAGAGGAATAATAATAATAATAAAAAGTAGCGGGTAACCATCAGAGACAGTCATATGTGTCAAAGACTATATTCACGAGTTTAAGTGTATTATCATTTCCTTCTACAAAAACCCTACAAAGGAAGTACTATTATTCACCAGGTTCCATAGATGAGGACACCGAACCTTATGGAATTTAAGCAACTTGTTCAAGGCCACACAGCTCCTACATGACGAAGGCTGGATGTGAACCTAGGGAGTGTAACTCCAGAATTGGTACTCCAAACCGTTAGGTTAGAATGTGACAAATGCAGAGCTCATGAGAGAACTTCCAAAGAGACTAATAATGGGGTTGAAATTGTGTCCGGCCTAACAGCTCACTTCCTTCATCTGTGCTGTCCATAGGGTAGCCTCTAGCTTAGCTACACATGGTTATTGAAAGTGAAATTGATTAAAATGAAAAGAAGTTTAAAATTTAGTGCATGGCTAGTGACCACTTCAAATGTGGCTCGTGCAGCTGAGGGCCTAAAATTTTCGTTTTATTTCATTTCAATTAACTCAAATTTCAACTGTCACATGTGGCTTGTGGCAACCGTATCAGACAGTGCTGATCTGAGCAGTTTTTCTCAGCTCTATCAGACATGGTTCAGGGCTGCTTTCCAAAAATCTCAGTGACAGAGGGGCATCTGTTGCTTTGCCCAGGGATTTGTAGAAAATCTCAAGGATAAGCGACCCGGCCTCTTCCTTAGGATCGGAGACTGTGTGTTCTTCAAATGTACCCGTGTGGGCTTTCCAACATTCTCCAAGCCCTAGATCTCCTCCTAAGTTACAGTGTGAGGACAATAAAGTCAGAACAGACAAACCCAGGAACAACTGCTCTCAGACAGTGGTCGCATCGGCACCAGCAGGGAGCTGGTAAAAATGCAGGTTCCTGATTTATGGAAAAGACTGGGACAAGTACAGCTTTCCGGTAACTGACTAGACTGCTGAACTGAATGAATGAGCATTTTCAGAACTCTAATGGAAAACTGATGCGTTCATCAAAGTGCTAACAAAAGATCAAGATGAAAAAAAAATTAATTACACGGGACTGAGTGAACTGATTATTATAATTTTTGTGACTTTCTGTTTGAATTAAAAGAAAAAACAAATGCAGGTCCCTGGACCCCGCCTCTATTGGGTCTGATACACCAGGCCTGGGGAGGAGGCCCTGGAGTCCATGTTTCAATCAAGCAGCCAATGATTCTCATGCAGGTGGTCTAGCTTTGAGAAACTCTGCTTCAGAGTCTGAACTACACATTTATCTCCTGGCCTCTTAAATAATTATAGCATATAAATCTTCCGAGAATAGCACAAACTGGGCTGGAAGCCAGGTGGTCGTCACTCTGCACTAATTGCTCACTTCTACGACAGTAGGCAAAGTGCTTAGTCACCAACGCCTCATTTTTGTCATCTGAAACATGGGGGTAAGGATATCTGCTATCTGTCCTCCAGGACAAAAGAGAACACAGCTGTGAAAGCATCGGAGGGCGATGAAAATTAAAAACGCACCGCATAGATATCCTACAACTCAGAGACACGTTTTGCTTGTCCAGCAGAGAGTTCCAATAGGTTTCACATTTTAAAAAATCCACATTTTTAACTTCTTTGGAAAAACTGGAAGATTTGACAGCATGGGGCTCACATTAGGTTGGTACCCTGGTGTGATTAAGAGCACTGCTCTGGGGTCACATGCAGAAGTTCAAATCCCTGTTTAAAAGCTGGGTGACTGGGCTTCCCTGGTGGCACAGTGGTTGAGAGTCCGCCTGCCGATGCAGGGAACACGGGTTCGTGCCCCGGTCCGGGAAGATCCCACATGCCGTGGAGCACCTGGGCCCGTGAGCCATGGCCGCTAAGCCTGCGCGTCCGGAGCCTGTGCTCCGCAACGGGAGAGGCCACAAAAGAGAGAGGCCCGCGCCACCCAAAAAAAAAAAAAAAAAAAAAAAAAAAAAAGCTGGGTGACTTAGGGCAAGTCCTTCAACCTCTGTGTGCCTCAGTTTCTTCAACTCTGAAGTGAGAATTTTAAGAGTACCTTTCAAAGGGTTGTGATGATTTAATTAAGTGAGTGAATATTTATCAAGTGCTTGGAACAATGTTTGGCACATGGCAAGAGCTCTATCACTCTTAGTTGAATAAATAAACATCCCTGCAAGTGGCAACAACCAGCTGGGGCTGAGTGGTGGCCGTCCCTCCATCCAGGGCTGATGTGCATCAGGTTGTCACAGCCTCCACCCAGACAGACACATTAGACTCTGGGAATCTCTACTGTAAGGGACAGAAGTGCATCTCCCTCCTCGGTGTCCTGCCAACAAGGGGTACAGACACTTAGTGCATCTTAGAGCAGCATTTCCCAAGCTATCTGTAGTGAAGGACCAGTTTCTTTTTTTGTTTTTGCTTTTTTTTTTTGCGGTACGCGGGCCTCTCACTGTTGCGGCCTCTCCCGTTGCGGAGCACAGGCTCCAGACGCGCAGGCTCAGCGGCCATGGCTCACGGTCCCAGCCGCTCCGCGGCATGCGGGATCCTCCCGGACCGGGGCACAAACCCGTGTCCCCTGCATCGGCAGGCGGACTCTCAACCACTGCGCCACCAGGGAAGCCCGAGGACCAGATTTTTTAATTTTCAGTCCATTGTGGCGGCCTGATATGGGACCCACCTGAGCAGGACTCATACCCAGCACTTGCCACAGACAACTCGCCCGTGGGTCTACAACACCGAGTGGTCTGCACCTGGACCCATGAGACGAGCCCACTGGATGTGCACTTGGATGTCCCAGCAATGTCAGACTGCTCTAAGAGTTTCTAAACACTGTCAATTTCAGTACTTATCTCGGGGTGCACTGCGGACAGCCCCGATCCTCAGGTTACACTTTGAGTAGTGGCATCTTAGAGGACACTGACATCATCTTCACAGGTACGGAAAACAGCTGGAAAATTTGGTTGGCCAGAACAGTCAACGGAGTGTCTGTTTGTCTGTCTCTCCCAACACTTCTGTCCTTCTCAGCCTGCCTGCCTTCTCCTTGTCCATCCCCATTTCTTTCATCTTTATCTACACATTAAAACCAGCTCCCGGGCTTCCCTGGTGGCGCAGTGGTTGAGAATCTGCCTGCTAATGCAGGGGACACAGGTTCGAGCCCTGGTCTGGGAGAATCCCACGTGCCGCGGAGCAACTAGGCCTGTGAGCCACAACTACTGAGCCTGCGCGTCTGGAGCCTGTGCTCCGCAACAAGAGGCCGCGATAGTGAGAGGCCCGCGCACCGTGATGAAGAGTGGCCCCCGCTCACCGCAACTAGAGAAAGCCGTCGCACAGAAACGAAGACTCAACACAGCAAAAATAAATTAATTAATTAATAAACTCCTACCCCCAATATCTTCTTTAAAAAACAAAAAAAAATCCGGCTCCCTAATGAGATACTGGGGTTCAGGACAGCCACGGAAGCTGTCATGGATGCTTTGATGTCCCAGGCGGCACCCCGTTTCATGAGTACCCCCCTCCAGCTCACTGCCACCCCTTCTCCTGAATGTTGCCTTTGGCTGACGGGAGCTGTCTTGCCCCCGTGCCCACATCCACATCCTTATCCCCAGGTCACTCTCCAGCAGCCCTGGGCCAATGACTGACACGGTGATGCAAAACGTCAGCCCCCTTGTCCCAAGAAGGAACCAACCGTGTGGTACAACTCATCCTCCAGAGACCCCTGTGGGCTCAGGCTGAAGCTAGACTCCAGCCCAGACACCATTCTTCACTTGGGTCCTCCCCCCGCCCTAGCCTGTTTCTCTCACTCCCCTTCCTTGGGAGCATGTCCTCAACACATCACAGGCACCCTAATCCCTGCCTCAGGCTCTGCTTAAAGGGAATCCAGTCAAAGACAGAAGCCATCGACACTTGGGTTCACCTTCCTCAACGACCCGGCGGATGAGAGCACACGGCGGGCACAACGCGCAAACCTTGAGGACTGGCATCAGGTCACCCCGAGAGTCCGCTCGCTGTGCTCCAGGTAAACAGAACTCACCTGTTGTGTTAGACAGCGCCAGCGATTCCATGGAGCCCCGCGGGGTCTGCTCTGTGGGCGTCATGTCCTCAGTATATTTCAGTGAACTGATCGGATGACGGGTCCGACACTGCTGAGTGGACATGCCCCCTTCCTCTTCCATCTCCTCCTCATATTTGGGGACTTGGATGCTGCCTCGGTTTTCGCTGAAGCTCTGGCTGGACATATCACTGTAGCTCTCCTGGGACCTCAGCCTTCCCGGGTAATAGTCTTCTCGGCATTCCTTGATGAAGCTGCCACCGTGCCCCTTCATGGCCAGCGATGAGCTCCTTTTGGGGTTGCTGAAGTGCTTGGCCCACATGTCGGGCTGGGCCCCGGCCCCTTGCCCTCCCGGACTGTAGGAAGTTCTGATGTTGCACTGGCTGAGGAGCTGCAAGGGGCTCTGTGACTGGTTCTGCTCCATCTTGTTCCCGTAATGGTACGGCTCGTCCCGGCTCCTCCAGATGGGGTCCCGGTTGAGGCTGGGTGTCTGGCTGGACAGGCTGAGCAGGTCCATCTGCAGCGACAGGGGGTCCACGTCAGCTGACAGCCGGTTGGAACTCACCTGAAGCTGGCTGTGTTGGTTCAGCATGGGCTCTTCTGTCTTGCCCTTGTTCTTGCCGATTTTGGCGCTGCGCCGGGACTCCTTGGCCCGGGCGTTCTGGAAGGCTGAATCAGAAGAGTCAGAGCCATCGGGGTCCTCCCCGGCACTGCAGGCCCGTGAGCAGAAGATCTGGCCTTGCTTGGGGAGGAACGGCCGGCCCAGGAGGGACTTCTTGCAATGAGCACAGCAGAAACAGGCCTCAGTGGCATGCCAGTGCTGGCCGTCATAGGTCATCTGACCTTGGTCGATCCCTGGGAAAAGAAGAGACATGAAGAGGCTGACGAGCTGCTCAGAGCTATTACGTGACGACATAAAACACACAGCGCCCTGGTTTGGCTGAGGCTTCCAGATGCAGCAGAATAAAATGTCAATAAATCAATGATCAGGCCCCCGTGTAAATAGCAGTCATGTCCTATTAGGACAGCTCCCTCGTTCTACCCAGTCAGGTCCTTCTTAACTCATTTGCTCTGAGTGCAGAGAAACTAAATCCAAATGGCCTGTCCATGAATCCTTCCGCCTGGGGCGCGTTCCTCCAGATAAACAGCAATAATGATACTAGGGTGTGAGAAGCACTGCTTTAAATGCTTTGCGTGTATGTAAACTTACTTAACTTCTCAACTGTACGAGGTAGGTTTCTAATATTACGTCCATTTTTCAGAGGAGAAAACAGAGGCAGAGGAGGTTAAATAACTTGCTTAATGTAAAGGAGCTAGGAATCATAGACGAGATCTATACCCAGGAAGTCTTGTTCCTAAACACGACCTCGATAATCATCTTTCAGTCTGCTTAGGGGTCTGCTCAAACGGCAGCTCCATGGGGAAGTCTTCCTGTCCCCCCCTAAAAGCTACTCTCCACCACTCTCCACCCTCACCTGCTGTATTTTCTTCACAGCATGGATACTGCTTGACATTGAGCCACTACATATGTGCATGTGTTAATTACTAAAAGTGAAGTTGTACGATGAAGTTTCTGGGATATCTCCAGGAACATGGCCTGGTACATCGTAGGGGCTCTTCATGTGTGGAATGGATGAATGAATTGAATTCCATCACCAGTGCCTGGCATTCCAAAGGGTAATTACTTCAGCAGTTTAGTGGAAAGGAAAAAAGTGGACTTCAGCTCATGGTAAGGAAAAACTTGGATGTAGTCTGTCAAAGACATCACCTCACCATAAGCATGCATATCCTTTGCGTAACTTCTGTCCCGTGCCCGGGCTGTGTCTCGTTTACATAACATTCTTACACCTGCTTCTGGGAGCCTCCCATAGCCCCTCTTGTGTCTCAGAGTCTCTTCTGCCCTCTTCTGGTTACAGGACTTAACTTCCCTGTGGGACACCATCTCCCTGCCACCCTTGGGCCATGAGCTTTGGGCGGGGCTAAAGCCACACCTGGACCAGCACTGGCCAGTAAAAACACCATATCTCCCAGCCCAGTTACTAGTTCAAGGGTGGGCACCTGACCTGCACCGGGGCCAAAGGGAGAGTCACCTGGGACTGTTGCTAAGGGAGCGACACAGGGAGACTCTCTTTTGACAGCAGTTGCTAAATGGGCAGAATGGGAGCCGGGAGCTGTGGGACCTACCTCCCAACCTCCCATAGGGAGAGCCTGCTGAAAATGCAGACCCAGCAGTGACTGTGGGATGGGAAGGGACCTCTGCAAGAATCCTGATGTCTAGCGATCAATGCCTCTTCCGAAAGGCAGTACCAATGTGAACTTTCACCTTTGGTGGCTGAGAGTCCTGAGTCTGAACTTCCCAAGAGTAACCTCTAGATAATTGTCTAGAGAGGCTGTGAACAAGAAACAGGGGAAAGGAGAAGGGCAAGAACAAAAGGCAGATGGCACAGCAGCCTCTCCAGGCCCTCCCCATGTACCCCTCACTTCCCTTTATGTCCCTGGAGCCCAGGGAGAGAGAAGCGTAAGGTAAATTCTTCTCCTAGGAGCTCCTCCCTGAACTAAGGGGTCTCTGTTTATTCAGGAGTCAGGCCCTAGGGACCAAGCGGGGATTTTTAGCAGGACAGGAGCAACCACAAGGGTCACTCCAAGATCAGAGGGACAGTGAATCAACTCCCTTTCAGCACCACATTCCCAGGAGGAGTGAGAACTGGCAGGGGAGGGGCTAGAGACAGCAGGCGCAAAGCTGGGGCTCCAAAAACATTTTCTCCTCCCTCAGGCTGCCGGGGGAAGCAGGGGCAGGCAGCACAGGCAGGCTGAACTCCCTGGTGAGGCATCAGGACTCGGACAAACGCAAGTTCAAATCGCAGCTCCACGCCATGCCAGCTGGTTGTAAACATGCTGAAGCCCGTCAGCTTGGTTCCAATCTTGGCTGGGCCGCTGTTGGGCTGTGTGACCCTAGGCAAGTGGCTTCATGTCTCTGTGCCTGAGTCTTCTCCACAATAAAACAGGGATAATAATAGTACTTACTTCGGAGGGCTGCTTGAGAACTAACTGAGTTAAGATGCAGTGAGTGCTCTGCTAACTCTTCCCAGCCCTCTTCTTGAGATTTTATTAGGTCTCAATGCCTGTCTCCCTCTCTGCTCTGAGGGCCGCTACCTGGATGCTGTCCAAGAAAGAACTCTGAGGATGGCTCGGCCCTCCCTCCCCTCTCCCCTGTTCCCTCTCCTCCAGAGAGCTTCCACTGACATCCCAGCTGCCCTGGGTCCTCAGTGTGAGCTCCAACTCAGCACAGCATCCCAGGCAGCTGCAGCCTTATCCACTGCCTTTCAGAGGTGTGCAGCAAGTCCAGTTCCTATGGGCTGTTCCTCCACCAGCTGCCTCCCTGTGCTTCTGCGAGGAAACATACTCAGATGCGGCAGCGGGGGCCTAGTTCTGGGGATGGGGGCCTCACAGAAGGCCGGGCCGCGGTAGGGAGAGCGGAGTGGGAGGCATGTTCCAAAGCGGCCCAGCAGGCAGTGAGACGTGGTCCCTGATAAACATCAACGATGTCAGATGGTGCTCTGAACTGCTCCTGAACTCTAAACATCTGGAAAAGGGCTCGGCCGTTCCACATCTAAGCGTTCCTTTTTTATTCCCTCCCTAAGCCCTTTAAGTACTTCTCTGAGGGTGTATGTGTCTACTGCTGCTACAGCCTCGGTATGTTTATAGGACTATTTACTCTGCTGTGAGCAGGCAAAAGTACCGTTGCCCTGGCAACGGCTTCCTGCTGTAGGGTCCGCACTGAGTGGCTGTATAAATAGGGAATATTTGGATAATATGGTCAGAGCAAAGCACCCAGACACTGCGGTATGTGTGATATACAGAGCATACCCTTTCTCTGTTGCAAGAAAAGTATGTTGTACAGAAAAGTGGATTTAGGAAAAGAAAAATCAGGGACAGCATTTTAACCACAGCAGTGATAATACTGCAGGCCACAGTGGTCCCCTTTTCTGATAAAGCACTGATGCCTTTTTATGGCTTTCAGAGGGAAGGAGAAGGGAATGCCAATCAAAGCTAAAAAGAAGACAGAAACAGAAGAAAACAGGGAACTTCTGAGGTGTACATGCTGCGGTGACATATTTCCTCTTGTCCAAGCTACTGAGCAAAAATTCTAAGTGGCAGTTTCTGGAGAGGCTTTTAAGCCTCAGTGGAAAGGGACAGAAGAAATAGAAATACTAACAAGCAGGGGGTATGTCTGCCATAGGTAAGTTGTCTATACTCAGCCTCTCTCAGCTGAGCAGGCACCTCCCTGCAGACCCAGAAGCCACAGTGAGCAGTGCTGGGTCAGCACCCTCACACCATTTCCCCTGATCGAGTCCCACCCCTCGCCCTTCCTCACCTGCCCCACCACCTGTCCAAATCAAGCTCATTTCCTAGCTCTTAGAATAAAGGGAGGTATGTCTGTTTAACCTCTTTGACCCTGTGAGAAATGCATCAGGCTGTGACAGGGGGAGGTTTTTAGGGGTTGGGGACAGGGGATTTTCGCAACACCCCAGCCCCCAGAAGGGAACGCTGCTGGACCAAGGTTGGTACAGCAAGGCTCCACCCTGGGCCTGGCAGGGACTCCAGCGCAGAAGGGCTCCACAGAAGTGGGCCTGAGTCCACAGGATGGACTCAACGACAAAGGACCACTAAGCATACAGCAGATGCCTCCCAGCGGGGCACAACAGGCTCTCAAACTGATTATCTCCATATCTCCCAACTACAGGTAAGAAGCTGGCAGCCTCCGAGCAGACTTCTTGGAACTGCACAAGCCACAGGAAGATCAGGCTGCTGGTCTCAAAGACATTCATCTGCTGCCAACTTTTTTTTCTCTTTTTAAAGGGCAGCTCATTCTCAAGGTGCCAGAACAGGAAAGCTGAATAAGAAGCTACAGATGCAGCATGATCGGGAATAGCATTGAAGGGCTGAACAAATCAGTTACTTGAAAAGGGAAAATGATTTTCACCATCTCATATCTGCCACTTCTTTGGGGAGTTTATAGCTTCTGAGCTATTTGAGGTTCTCTCACTTTGTTTTTGGCTGGGTCAGCTTTTGCTGATTTTTTTTTAAAGACATGCATGCCAGAAACCATTTGGTTTCCTTGACTATCTCTTCCTACCACGAGGACTGCTTTGTTTCCTCCCTCTGCTGACCCCCGAGGTTTTCCGAGGAGGCTGTGGAAGACATCTGTTTACATTTTCCCCTCATATCTTCCTCTGAGACCTCTCCTCCTCCCTTTGGTAGTGGGACTGTATACCTTGGGGGTGGGTTTATGATTCAGGCAGACCAATGGGAACTCCCTATTCTTTTCTTTCCAGGGTGGAACAGATGACCAAATGAGGGGCTACAGCATTCCTATTTGGAGGACCTGACTTGGATATTGGAAAAAACACGATCCCATCCTTCTAGAGAATACCAGTGCTAAGACTAAGTGTAGCTGGGTGGGTCATCTTGGCCACCTTGCGAAGGCAGCTTGCTTCCAAATGATGCCAAGAGAAAGCAAATTGAGCTGAGACACAGAGGGGAAAAAAAGAACCAGACTTTGAATCCTTGAACCATCCTTAACTGAAACCAATTTCTTTCTTGGCTTTTCTGGTACCGTGAGCCACGAAATTTCCTTTGTCACTTAAGGTAGTATCAGTTGGGTTTCTATCACTTACAACCAAAGGGATTCTAACTATACCAGACACAGAGCAGATCCAGTCAGAGTTGGACCAAGCTGAGCACCAAGAGTCGCCTCACCTATGTGTTGGGCACAGGTGTCACAATATTCTGCGTACAAGGACTCGAAGCAGTGGCAGCAGTAGGGCCTTCCCTCCTTCATGATGTAGCGCTGGCCGCCCAGCACTGTCTCGCATTCGAAGCAGCAGAAGTGTTTCATGTGCCAGTGTCGCCCCTCAGCTTCTGTGCATTCGTCTGCAAAGATGATCTGGCGATGGAGAAGCCAAATGGTCAGTGGATAAGAGCCAGCCATGAGAATGTACTTTAAAGGTGGAAAGCTATGAGGGCCCTAAACTGGAAGGGTAGAGAAATAGGTCCTGTCCACCAATTATTAAACAGAAAATCTATATGTGTATGTTTATTCTCTATCTATATCAGTTCCCACGTGTGGATTTGCCTAAAGCACAATTAAACAGTTTCTGGCCTGGTCGGTGATTAATTTAACCACATTGTATAAAGACAAAGAACATGTTACCCTAAAGAATATAAAGCAGGACTAAAAACTGACAGCTCATGGGCACTTTGGCCATATCGATTTAATCTGGCTTATATACAATATTTTTTTTTAAATGAGAAATGTCATATAAACCCCTGGAATCCTGGTTTCTCTTTAGAAAATACGTGTTTGGCAATGTGTGCTACACATTCTTGCATGGCAACAATAAGAGGGGTTGCTGCTTTCAGATGAGTGATGAGTTCTGCAGCTTGTCATTTTTTTTCACCACTCACTGTTACCTTAAAATGAGTCACCTTCATTTACGATAACTGTCTAGCCCTCAGAAGCATTTGTGTTTTGACCCCTAAGACAGAGTTTTTTTACAATTTCAAAGCACAGATTTAAGAGCTTACTGCAGACTACAGTAATCAAGGCAGAAATAAGCTCAAGTGTTTATGGCCAATTGATTACTGACAAGGGTGACAAGGACATTCGATGGAAGAAAGAATACTCTCTTCAACAAATCTGTCTGGGACTGCTGAATAGCCACATACAAAAGGATGAATTTGAACCCCTACCTCACACCACATATAAAAATTAACTCAAAAGGGATCAAAGACCTAAATGTAAGAGGAAAAAAACTATAAAATGTTTAGAAGAAAACACAGGTGTAAATTTTCAGGAACTTGGATCAGACAATCAGGCAATGGTTTCTTAGCTATGACTACTAAAAGCATAGACAACAAAAGAAAAAACAGAAGTTGGATTTCACTGAAATAAAAAACTTTCATGCTTCAAAGGACATCATCAAGAAAGTGAAAATATAACTACCGAATGGGAGAAAATACTTGCAATTCACATATCTGATAAGGGACTAGTATCCAGAATATATAAACAACCCTTACAAAGCTGCAAGAAAAAGAAAAAGCACCTGAGTGAAAAAATAGGCAGAAGATTTGACTAGACATTTCTCCCAAAAAGAAGATATGCATATAGCCAATAAATACATTAAACAAATGCTCAACATTATAAGCCATTAAGGAAAAGCCAATCAAAACCACCACAGTATGTCACTTCATACCAACTAAGGTGACCATAATGAAAAAGACAGACAAGAACTGAGGAGAAATTTGTATGGAAACACAAAAGACCCCGAATAGCCAAAGCAATCTTGAGAACGAAAAACGGAGCTGGAGGAATCAGGATCCCTGACTTCAGACTATACTACAAAGCTACAGTAATCAAGACAGTATGGTACTGGCACAAAAACAGAAAGATAGATCAATGGAACAGGATAGAAAGCCCAGAGATAAACCCACACACATACGGTCACCTTATCTTTGATAAAGGAGGCAGGAATGTATAGTGGAGAAAGGACAGCCTCTTCAATAAGTGGTGCTGGGATAACTGGACAGGTACATGTAAAAGTATGAGATTAGATCACTCCCTAACACCATACACAAAAATAAGCTCAAAATGGATTAAATATCTTGAGGTAAGGCCAGAAACTATCAAACTGTTAGAGGAAAACATAGGCAGAACACTCCATGATGTAAATCACAGCAAGATCCTTTTTGACCCACCACCAAGAGAAATGGAAATAAAAACAAAAATAAACAAATGGGACCTAATGAAACTTCAAAGCTTTTGCACAGCAAAGGAAACCATAAACAAGACCAAAAGACAACGCTCAGGATGGGAGAAAATATTTGCAAATGAAGCAACTGACAAAGGATTAATTTCCAAAATTTACAAGCAGCTCATGCAACTCAATAACAAAAAAACAAATAACCCAATCTAAAAATGGGCAGAAGACCTAAATAGATATTTCTCCAAAGAAGATATACAGACTGCCAACAAACACATGAAAGAATGCTCAACATCATTAATCATTAGAGAAATGCAAATCAAAACTACCATGAGATATCATCTCACACCAGTCAGAATGGCCATCATCAAAAAATCTAGAAACAATAAATGCTGCAGAGGGTGTGGAGAAAAGGGAACACTCTTGCGCTGCTGGTGGGAATGTGAATTGGTACAGGCACTATGGAGAACAGTATGGAGGTTCCTTAGAAAACTACAAATAGAACTACTATACGACCCAGCAATCCCACTACTGGGCATATACCTTGAGAAAACCATAATTCAAAAAGAGTCATGTACCAAAATGTTCATTGCAGCTCTATTTACAATAGCCTGGAGATGGAAACAACCTAAATGCCCATCATCGGATGAATGGATAAAGAAGATGTGGCACATATATACAATGGAATATTACTCAGCCATAAAAAGAAACGAAATTGAGCTATTTGTAATGAGGTGGATAGACCTAGAGTCTGTCACACAGAGTGAAGTAAGTCAGAAAGAGAAAGACAAATACCATTTGCTAACACATATATATGGAATTTAAGAAAAAAAAAATGTCATGAAGGACCTAGGGGTAAGACAGGAATAAAGACACAGACCTACTAGAGAATGGACTTGAGGATATGGGGAGCGGGAAGGGTAAGCTGTGACAAAGCGAGAGAGAGGCATGGACATATATACACTACCAAACGTAAGGCAGATAGCTATTGGGAAGCAGCCGCATAGCACAGGGAGATCAGCTTGGTGCTTTGTGACTGCCTGGAGGGGTGGGATAGGGAGGGTGGGAGGGAGGGAGACGCAAGAGGGAAGAGATATGGGAACATATGTATATGTATAACTGATTCACTTTGTTATAAAGCAGAAACTAACACACCATTGTAAAGCAATTATACCCCAATAAAGATGTTAAAAAAAAAAGAAAAGAATTGAGGAGAATGTGAGAAATTGGAATCTTCATTCATTGATAGTGGGAATGTAAAATGGTGCAGCTCCTCTTGACAACAGTTTAGATTCCCTCAAAAAGTTAAACATAGAACTACCATATGAGCCATCAATTCTACTCCTAGGTATATACTCAAGAGAACAGAAAATATATGTCCACACAAAAACTCGTATATCAATATTCATAGCAGCATTGTACATAATAGTCAAAAAGTGAGAACAATGTAAATGTCTATCAATTAATAAATGGCTAGACAAAATGTGATACATACACACAACTGGTTATTATTCAGCCATGAAAAGGAAAGTACTGATACATGCTGGAACTCGGGTTAACCGCAAAAACACCGTGCTAAGTGAACAAAGCCAGACACAAAAGGTCATATGCTGCATTGATCCACTTATATGAAGTGTCTGGAATATGTAAATTCATGGGGACAGAGACTAGATTACTGGTTGCCAGGGGCTAGAGGGAGGGGAAAAGGGGAGTGACTGCTAATGGACCTGGTGTTACTTTTTCGGTGATGAAAATGATCTGGAATTAGGCAGTAGTGATGGTTGTCCAACTCTGTGAATACACTAAAAACCACTGAATTGTACACGTTAAAAGGGTAAATCTTATGCTGTATGAATAAGATTGCAATAAGCAAAAATTTCAAACCACTTTAATCATCCTATTCTATTTGCCATTAGATAATATTATTAAGTATCATGAGCACCAATTTCCAGATGTGGAAACTGAGGCAGGCAGGAAAAGGGGCTGCCCACAATCACTAGAACTGGACCAACTACCTGCCCAGAGGGTCCCTTCTGAATATCACTGGTAGCATTAGAATCCAGGTTAGATAAGGCCAACTGACTTCCTTCTAGAAGAGTGAGTTTCTGATTGGCGGCTTTTAAGGAAGAGATGCCCATGGTAATAGTGGACTCTGGATGAAAAAGAGGAGTGTTATTTTCAGGGTCCCACATTGCTGGTTATAGGGTCAGAAAGAACCAAAAACCTACTTTATGCACGAAGAAACCCCTGTCCAAGATCTTTCTCCTAATATGTCCCATAAAATCAGTCAGGTTTAGAACATTCTCCTTTCTGACCCCAACTTTTAAGTTAAACCAGGTTTTCTATCTTTCAGCTCCCAGATCACACCTAGGTGTGCTTCTGCTGGGAGAAAACACCAGGTACGAACCTTGTGTCCGGACTGCTTTCTTACTCGGAAAAGCAAATTCAAGTACCTCTTAAGAGTGTGGGGCACAGGTATCCAGATGGAGTAGCCTTTTGTAAATTGTGGGAGAATCAAATCATGCTACCCATTTTCTTGTCTTCTCAAACCAAACTGTCCCATCAAATCTCAGGAAACCCAAGATTTTAAGATAAACGACACACTATTACTGATGACAACTACTTCCTGGGATTTGGGCTGAAATCTCAAGTTGCACAAAGCCTTTTTTTTTTAGAGTTCTGAACTGACCTAGTGCCCCTGGAAATGTCCTCAGCCCTAGAAACTGTCTTCCACCTAGCGGCCCATGAGACTGTCACATTCAGTAAAGCAGGTCACAGTCCTGGACATTCTAGCAACGAGGGATGGTGTGGCTTCATTTTTGAAAGGGTTAATATAAGAAGGGAGGGGAGTGGCCTATGGTTTTCTTCCATGCAGGAACCACAGGACAACGTGCTGGCTATGGTGCAACCCAGGGAGCGGGGCGGACTCTGACCTCGTCGCAGGCAGCGCAGCGCGGCTTCAGGCACTCCGCGTGGTGCCTGCCACAGTATATCTTCCCATCTTGGTAAAAGTAGATCAAATCCACCAGGAGCTCGTTGCAGACAGTGCAGATAAAGCAGGGTGGGTGCCAGCAAACACCATGTCCGGCGCGCGACGCAAACACAGCAATGTCCCCGCCGTTGATCTGGCCTCCGCACTGCAAGGCGAACAGAAACGTCAGGAAGAGGAACGCCGGCGCCCCGTCTCTCAGCGCCACGCAGGAAGGATACACGACCACCACCGGCATCACTAGCTGGTGACTGAGTGCTTACTTGCAAATCAGTTTCTGTGCTACCTGCTCTACACACAGGCAGGCAGGGTTTTCTTGTCCTTCCCCCACTGCCCCTCCTAGGGCCAACACGAGGAAGACCCTGTCACTGAGAAAATAAGCAATCCCAAAGGTGGGAGAGAAAGGAAAAGTCTGCCAGCAGGAGGTCTCATTATCTTTTAGATACTGCCAACTCCCTCCAGAGGCCCAGCCAGGACTACTGCTAGAAAGAGTAGGCTGTGTGGGGTTTGGGTGATGCGTGAGTGGGGAGGGGGTTTAGAGGGACTCTGGGAGGACCTGGAGGTCTGCACTTTGGAAGGTAGGGAGTGGGTTCATAAAGGTATGCCCACTTATAACCATCTTCTCTAGAAGCCTTTCAGGGATGCTTTTTTTACCTACCATCTTTTTACACAGTCCCGATTGAAAAGGTACCACTCCTAAAGCCAGACTATGAAAAGGGCTTCTTCTTTCTCCCCTTCCTGAGCTTCTCACTCATTTCCTTCCCCTACCCAGAAAGGAACAAGGCAAAAAGTCCCTGATGACCCACGCTTCCAGTTGCGCTTGGGATAAAATGAATACGGTGCAGTCTTTGAGGGAGGAGTAAAGTGTGAGGTAACAGGTCCGGGGGGGGGGGGGGGGGGGGGGGGGGCGTGGGGGGGGGGTGGGGGGGGGGGGGGGGGGGGGGGGGGGGGATGGTGCTCTCTGCTGACCACGGTGTTGGCCTGAGGTTCCCAGCCTGAGGGTCCAGCACTATGACTCCACATGAGTGGCTGGGGGCAATGTCCAAGGAGGAAAAAAGCGACCTCCAAACTGTTCCCACACCTTGGCCATCAGAAGGGTTGTGATGCTTCATAGAAAAGAAAGTCAAGGTCTCATGGAATAGTCTCGGGGGCCTCATTCATGCGAGTGACCAGACATCAGAAAGACACTACGTTATGCAAAGTGCTACCCCTGCCTTTTGTGCTAACGTTGGTAGCTGAGGTATGCATACTTCTAAAAGAGAAAGTGAGGCACACTCAAGTTTTCCAGTTTATTTGCTCCAACACTGATTCGAATTGGGCTACAAGCATCAAACTAAAGGTTGTTGGGAGTGCTCCAAGGTCACGAACCCGGGGAGAGATTTTTATAGAGAAGACGTGGAAGCAAAGTGCGGAAAGTATTTCAGGGACTAGAGATTAAGCAGTCCCCTTATTTGGGAAAGCCTGGTTGGCTGTTTGCAATTGGTTGTTCAGTTTCACTTTCTTGGATTCCACTACCCTGACTGGTTTAGGTTTTGGTCTGCTGATACAGGCTACCGAGGCATTAGAGCCACCCCAGTCCAATGGCCTCCTTGTTTAATTACTTTAACAACACGGAATCCCACTGAATCCTCACCGTGATTCTACGACCTAGGCATTTGTTAGCCTCATTTTGCAGCAAAACCATTAGGAAAAGTAACATGGTCACTGCCATCTGGCAGAAACCTGAGTCAATCTTATGTCTTTCTGCCTCCAGGCTCTCGTCACTCTTCCATGCCACTCTTGACACCTGCCCATGAAACACCCAACCTTCCCACTGTCTTAGGGAAGTCCGCCTGGACTGGTGAAGAATGACCCGAGAGTGGCAGAGGCCCTGAACTGAGCACACAGAATCTCGCATCTTAACCTCTGACCACCTACATCTCAGGGGCAGGTGTCAAGGATGAAGATCCCATCCCACTGCCAAATCTGTGGTCCTCTGGCTCCCCTGTTAAGTAGCATCTCCATTCCATGCACCTGAGCCTTCCCACACTATCCCTCTGAAATCCCCAAAAAGGGCCCCCAAATGGTATCCCCTCCGCTCAGGTAGTATCTTGCCTTCTCTTCCTCAATCCAGTTCACATATTTTCAGTATGTGAATGGCTCCCCAAAGCGCTTAAGGAGTTAGATGGGGCTACACTCTTAGCAGCAGGCCTAAGAGATGTGTCCAAAATATGACCATCTGCACCAGAAGGCTTTTGGAGGTCAAGAGGCGGGGCAGGGTGAACCCAGGCAGGCTGAATTCCCACCCTGCTTTCTTGAAAACCCTCCTCCACCATGCCCGGAGCACTCTACAGGACAGTCGAAGAAAAAAACAAATCCAGACTTGCGACTCACTGAGGTCCTAGAAAGAATGCAGGGGGCTTCGTGCACCGTGCTAAAGAACCCTCAAATCCAAGGAGGTGACCATTTACCACCTGCTTAAATGGCACTGGTCCTGGGATGACCCTGGGAAAGAGGCTGACCCATGGTCCAGGCAAATTCCACTTTCTAAAGGACTCATTTTGAGATGTAATTCCATCATGCCATGCCTCTGCTCAGATCCTTCCAATGGCTCCCTATCTCCTTCCAGTGGCTTACCCAACCCTCTGTGAAACATGACTTCATCCACTCATTCTCGTCTTCATCCCCTCTGCCCTGCCACACCTGCCAACCTGCTGTCCCTCAAACAGAACAGAAATGGCTCCTGCCACAGGGCCTTTGAACTTGTTGTTCCCTTAGCCGCCCCCGCTCCGTTCCACCATCTGCATGACTCACTCCCCCTCAGTTCCTGCATGTCTTTGCGGGGCCTTCCCCGTCACTTTACTGAAAATTGCAACCACTGCACACTGCCAACACTAACCCCCTTCCCCACTGAATTTTTTCTATCTTATTTATGTTCCTGTCTGACTTCTCCCCTAGAACGGAACTCCTTACAAGGGCAAGATCAAGCTTTCAAATCTTCTGTTCACGGCTGTATCCCCCAGGCCTACAAAGTAGGTTCTCAGTAAAATAACTGTTGAATGAATGAGTGAAAGGATGCCAGAGCAATCCCCTCGGCACGCCTCGCAATCCACGCTCACCTGTTCACAGATCGCTCCTGTCATGGTGACCGGGAAGGGCCTGACATTGCCACGACCCAGGTTTTCACGTTTCCGCTGGTTGCTGAAGAGCTTCAGCTCCCTCTTCTCTTCCTCATCCAGGGAGTTGCAATAGCGAACCTGGACAGACACAGAGGATGGCACGCAGGGGTCACCCTTGCTCCTGAGGGTTCCTGAAGCCCAGGCCTCAGGCTGTGCTCACTAAACACACTCCCATTCGGTTTCACAGTCCTTGTGGGCACTTGAACACCACCAGGCTGGGGGCTATTTCAGTGAGTCCCTTCCTGAGATTGCTGACCATCAAAAGGGCTTCCTCAAGGCTCCAAACTCCAGAGCCCCATTCTTGGGCAGGCCAATGAATGGTCACAGCCTCACTGACGCACTCTGCTTACCACACTAAGAGCCATACCATCTGGGATAGCTTTGCTGCTAGTCAAGATCGGGGACTTCCTCCTCCTTTCAAAGTGATCTGTATCTTCAAATTGATCGTGATACTTTCACCTCCATGTGCCCATGGAAACGATCCTTGACGCCAAAGAATGGCTCCGGGCCAACGAGCCAGAATAGCGGTCAACGTGCTCACAGCTTCTGTTTCCCAAAATGAGATGGGAACCAAAGGCGTGAAACTGAGGAGTTGGCCCAGCGCTATCTGTGTTACTTCACGGGAGTCCCTGCGCGTGTTTATCTGTGTGTAGGAGGGAGAGGACTACCCGCTGGGCTTTGGTTAATGCATCAACTTGCATAAGATATTTTCCTTCTTGTCCGACACGGAAACTCACAGAATTAAGGGAGGGACATTAAAGATATTCAAATCTGCTATTTCCCATTCTCTCTTTTATTTATGCACACCTTGGGAATTTTGCTATAATCTTGAACTATTGTTTACTTAACACTGTTTTAAAAACGGACTCACTGTTTTTTACCTGAATACATTTACTTGAAAAGAAAGTATATTATGACTAAAAATAGAAAAGCAATATCACTTGTGAAAAAACAGAGCGACCATAAAACTAAATACGAGACTGAAAACAAAACCACATTGCTGGATTCTAGCTGACTACTTTTGCTTGTCGGAGATTCTGAAACGGAGGTTCTTAACGCTGTTACTTAAAAATGGCAAGTAGCAGGAGTTGGAGAGGTGTGAGATACCTGCTCCCCCCAAACTAAAATTTCCCCCTTGACAACTCAGTCACAAGCAATGAAATGCAACTGAAAAGGTAGTGAGTCTCTCATTATGTGGTTCAATATTATTTATTGCCATGGCCATGTACCAACCAAAGTCGTCACGGATCTGCTACACTTCGGGAAACATGGTTCTAATCCCACCCCATCTTACTTTAGAATAATCTGAGCATCACCAAGTTTAACCGACTTGCCCCGACGATCTGTCCTACAGATGGTTAAAGGGAAACCTTTGAACCAGGACTAGTTTGAAAACCACTGCAGCTGTATACGTCAAAATTGTCTAATCTGGGTGAAAAAGAGAATGATCAAATATTTACTTTAGATTCACCATCTGTCCTTAAAAAGGCCATGTCAAATGGGCAAATCTGTCTACTGGGTCACATGTAAGCAATTCTCACCAACAGGAAGACGAAATTTGAAGGGTCTCTTTTCATGAAACCACAGTTAACCATAAACAGAATTAATCATTCAAAAGCAGAAAAGAGCAGATCACTTCCCTCTATTGAGTAAAAAAATGTTTAAAAAAAAAAAAAAAAAAAAGTCTTCATGTGGAGAAAGAACTGCAATGACCTGAACAGCCCAGAATATATGGTTACACTACTGACAATTTAGGGACATGCTCTGAAAGAAAGGCACACCCCTCCTGCTTGTAAAAACCCACACTTTCAATTCCAAATTAGTTAACTGGTCATCTGGTTACAATGCTTGCTCTCCTCTTTAAAGGAGAAAGCATTATTTAAATGTGTTTTCCTTTTATTTATTTATTTATTTTTTTAAATGTGTTTTCTGAAGTCTGAAATAAACAATAGGAAAGGGAACTGTGACTGTCTTTCTAGGGAGTTGCTTCAGTTTTTAAGCTTTGGCTCTACTTATTCAAATTCACTTTTGAGGCTCTTGATTTATTCCTTTTATTCAAATGTGGGAAGATAAAGACTAAAAAAGTACTCACTCATTTCCTCAGGGACTGAGCTTGTGGGTGGGGGCAGTTGGTAAAAAGCTGGGGTGCAGCTCTCTGAAGGGGTTTTAAATTTCTCCTTTCAACTTAAAGTTGTGTTTTTCTTTAAATCACAATCAGAGTTAAGCAGACAATGCGATTCTGTAGGATCACTATTTTTAAAAACCAGATACTTGAGAATTAATTTCTAGTTTGCAAATCTAAACCCCCCAAGCATGATGATCTTTTAAAAGCGTATTTACAAATTTCCCTTTAGGATCAATCTGAGTTCAAAGACGATGAATGCCTGCTTATAGTGCCCTGTATCTGAGTTCAGAAAAAAGGACGGCCTGCGAGTCATACTTTCGAGTATAAGGGGTGACCTTGCCAAGTTGGACTGGAAACGACAAAAACACAAATGTTCACAGCTGCAAATCGGGACATGTAACTTCTACTACAGTGTAAGATGGAAAACTTACATACTCATTTACTAAGAAATGATGCTGAAAATTCAAGACTCTCAAAGTGTGTGCCGGACTTGAACTGCTCAGGGAATCTCAATCATCTAACAGGCTCAGGCAACCAGCATCGCACGTCCTTCAACTAACAAAACCTGGACTTGAACTTTTAAATTTTAGTGCTCCCCGGTTACCTCAAATAGCTAGTAGTGCCAGGCACAGAGGCGAATCCAGTCCATAATGAGATTCTGCTTTTCGGTAACCCTCCCAAGAAGGTGTCCGACAGTTTCTTTTAGCTCTAATTAAGGAAGCTAAGACCTAAACTGCCAGACTTTTTCGCTGGGGATCTCACTGATAATGAGCATTCTGATTATGAAAAAGGTTAACAGTTCACAGAAAGTTCTAAGAAGGTTCTAAGAAAAGTCTTACGAAGGCCCCTCTAGCCCCTTACCTCATTGTCATGTGGCGGCAGCTGGTGTAATAGCTGCTTGATTCGAAGTTTCTCTCCAGGACTGTTGACGTAGGGAACTTTCTCTTCTGGGAGACAGCTATAGTACTGGTGAACCTGAAGGATGGAAAGCACACAGGTAACTCGCCCATTACTCAAACCACCTGCCCACTCCCACATCCTGGGGAGATGATTCCCACAACAGGACACATCTGCTTCCCGCTGTCCCCGTCCTTCGTGAAACTCGACGGCATATGAGTTTCTCACTGCAAGCAGAGAAATTCATCCTTGAAGAAAGAGTCCCACAAATCACCCATGTCTTGGGGCTTTTCCTCTCTCTGTAAGGGAAAAATAAAGCTAGCAAACTTTCCTAGAAAAAGAGATTTTGGCAAACATGCTGGTGAACCCGGAGGGTAGGGCTTTCTCGGCAGGCTCCCCCGAGAGCTGGCTTTACCATTTTCTCTGTGAGTCTCCAGCATGTAACCTGCCTTCCTAGCCAAAGCGATGTGTCAGCGCCTGCCCTGGCGCTGGAGTCAACACCAGTCTTTGGCGCGCGGAGAACTCTTGGGTCCCTCAGCCTCCACCTACATTAAAAGCCCTCTAGGTTTTAAGCTTTTTGTAAGAACAGGCAGCAGCTCAGATCGGTCCCCCCCAAAAAAAAAAGTCACTGAATTCGGGATACAGAGCGTGTAATTAAAAACTGTCATTAACGTGACTTTTTTTGTACATCCTAGAATGCTCCTGTTTACAGATGTTAGGACATATTCTTGCAATTTCTGAGGCTCATTCAACTCTAACGACTATTTGGGAAAGCACCAAACATCTAATTCTGCCTGAGAAAAGAAAACAGACATTCTAGCATCCAGCTGCATGTAAAACTAGGGGGAAAAACTGGCCGAAACAGAAGGTATGCTTTATATAGGAGAGGCCAAAAAAAAATCCCACAAGGTCAGATGACATCATGGAAAATACTTTTCAACTGTCTCTCAGCATCATGACCGACTCTTGTGAAACAAGGCATTCATTCAACAAAATGGAGAAGACAGAAGACTTGGGGCTCTACATTCAACATATTGGTTAGGCTCCACAAACTTGGTCACATTCCCTTCAGTTTGGGGAGCCTTGGATATGACCACACGTTTTGGGAATGCTGGCGTGAAGAGCTGCGAAAGCTCTGTCTACTTTGATTTCCAGAAACGAAATCATAATTGTTAGAAGAGGGAGGAAGAAGGTTTTGTGATAACAAAGCCTTAATAAAAAATGTGAAAGCTATCCTTGTTTTCGTAACAAATGATCGTAACCATTCACCATCGTGTGTGTATCATCCTCTTGATCAAATCCCAAAGGTAAACATAAACAGACTTCTTGCTGTAGACCAGCCAGCTTTTGGGGCCCAGGGCCCTGCGACCCCTCCCTAGAGGCACCTGGCAGGAAGCCAAGTCTCAGGATGGGAAGCAATGGTTCCGGGTTTTGAAGGCAGCCCACAAGTTACTGGCACTCTCTCTGAGAAGAAATACAAGCCCAGATCATGAGTTAGTTGGGGATTAGAAGCTGGCGATGAGCCCATCAGAGACTGGCACACCATTATGTCCTCGGGAGATTCGTGCCCCATATGCCTCACCAGGTAAGGGCCAGGTATATAAAGCAGCAGGCCCCGTCCCTGTATCTTGGGGAATGGGCTTTGCCTCCCAGGTCAAAAAATGACTGGTGGAAAAACCTTGGGGAAACATCACTTTGTCATTCTCACAGCTCCCATTATGGTTACAGAACATTAGGGACAAATGCTAATATAAAATGAATCACTATGTGGATAAACAACAAGGTCCTACTGCACAGCACAGGGAACTATATCCTGTGATAAGCCATGATGGAAAAGAATGTGAAGAAGAATGGATATATACGTAAAACCGAATCACTGTGCTGCACACTAGAAATTAACACAACATACATCGTAAATCAACCGTACTTCAATAAAATAAATTAAAAAAATAAAATGCATCACTGTGGATGCTTGATCACAAAGAGTCTGATTTCAGCTCCACTGACCTTCCTCTCAATCACCCCTCATCACTCACACACCCCTCTCTTCACTGCCCAGAGCAGTCATCTTCTGAACTGGTACCTTGAACAAGGAAGGTCTCTCTGCTACCGTCCAAGGCTGACCCAGGCTGGAGTTTTCGCTGTACCTTCTCTGCAGCATGGCCAGGTAGATCTGAACCCCCAGTCATGGCTCTGTCCTTTCCCATCCCCGTGTTCCTGAGCAAGTTGACAAAACCTCTCCGAATCCTCATGGTAATTAAACGAGAGGAGACAGAGCATTTGGCCCTCAGTGACAATAAATAATAGGAATACACAGCAATAGGCACATTGTCCAGCCTGGTATACTCCAAATGGAACAAGCCACATCTTCCTGGCATTCCTTCCATTTTAAGAGGTAGGGCAACACTGTCGGCTTGTAGAGTGAGACCAAACCTGGGGAGCCCCCCACTTATAACTGGTCTAAGAAAGAAGGCCGCAAGGGATAAAATGCGATTTAAGCTAGCTTGGTTTCAGGGGAAAAAAAGGTAAATTATTATAAAGATGTAGTGTCTTCTCAAAAAACCCAGCAGTATGGTAGGGCCTCTTGAGGAAATGGAAACTTCCAATGGAAGGTGATTAGTAAGAGATTTCCCATCTCCCTAAGCCTGGTGTCCTCCTACCTTTGCTCTATTCTTTCCTCTCTGCAGATCTGTTCCCCACAGGACTTGAGTTTACACAAGCCCCGTTCCAGAGTCCACCCTAGACTGACTAGCTTTGCTCAATTCCACTTCCTTACAGAAGGCTCCTGTTTACCCCATCTTGGGCAAGGGCCACACCTGGAGATTGGAATGGAGAGGTTCCATGCCATTTTAAGACTGGAGGATAAAGGAGTCCCAACACATGATTGGACTAAGGGGGAGGCAGTGATGGAGAGCTCTAGAGATATTTAGGTGGTAAATAAGTACCTCGGTATGCTGATGTCCATCTTAAAGACTGAATCCTTAACTCAACAGAGGCAGTGACTACTCTTGTGGAACACCTTTCCTGGCTGGACATCTTGTGTTGCCTTTTTTAAAAAAAATTTTTATTTATTATTTTTGGCTGCATTGGGTCTCCGTTGCTGCGCGCAGGCTTTCTCTAGTTGCGGCGAGCGGGGTCTACTCTTTGTTGCGGTGCGCGGGCTTCTCATCGTGGTGGCTTCTCTAGTTGTGGTGCATGGGCTCTAGGCATTCGGGCTTCAGTCGATCTGCTTTTTTTTTTAAAGCCATGACTGTGGTATCAGATACATATGGAACCTGATCCAGCTCTGCTACTCTCTGGCTATATTTATGATTGGAACAGGTTATTTAACTTGGTGAAGTCATTTTTCTTCATCTATAAAATGAAGATAGTAATGGTTCCTACCTTATAGGGCAACTGTTCCAGAACCTGGTATTTCAAGAACCCAGTATTACATATAATTACTTTTTCTTTTTTTTAAAATAAATTTACTTTATTTCTTTTTGGCTGCGTTTGGTCTTCGTTGCTGTGTGCGGGCTTTCTCTAGCTGCGGCAAGCGGGGGCTACTCTTCCTTGAGCGGGCTTCTCATTGTGGTGGCTTCTCTTGTTGTGGAGCATGGGCTCTAGGCGTGCAGGCTTCAGTAGTTGTGGCACATGGACTCAGTAGTTGTGGCTCGCGGGCTCTAGAGCGCAGGCTCAGTAGTTGTGGCGCACGGGCTTAGTTGCTCTGTGGCATGTGGGATCTTCCCGGACCAGGGCTCGAACCCGTGTCCCCTGCAGTGGCAGGTGGATTCTTAACCACTGAGCCACCAGGGAAGTCCCACATCTTGTGTTGCCTTCTATAACTGCAGCCTACTCATCACCACCACTGAAAACGCATCTTTTCTACCAGTATTCCCATAATTCCTTCAATATAAAAGGCGCTAACATAATTTCTCACAAGGCAACTAATAATTTGGCAGATGACTTAAAAACTTACCTGCTGAAATACTCCGTTTATCAAACCAAATCAGCTAATTATTAATTAACAACCTACCAAATCAACCCCATATCACCTGATAGGTGATCTGACTTGCTGTGAGGCAGGAGAGTGAGTTGGTCCTTTACCACGTCCAATTCTCTTCAAAGCCTGTTCAAGTCCAGGAGTAAAAATAACCCCCCTTCATGGTGGCTGCTGTGTCTCCTCCTGGTGTTTAGAAGCTGGACTTTGCAAGCTCTTCATTGAGCAAAGGGGATTAGCAGACAGATGGGAATGAGGGAGAAACGGCTCTCTTTCCCAATCTGTCTCTGGCTGAACGTGGAAATGCCACATGCACAGAAATGCTTTGGCATCTTCCATAATAAAACTACTGTATAGCTCAGAACAAACACCAATCGTACCAATAGTAAGGGGAAAATATTTAGTATACTTTCTGGCACTACAAAAGCGAAAATTGGCACCACCTGTGAAAACCCTGCAGATTGCTCATTTTAGCCCAAACACATTTCACTTGTTATTTTTATTATTTATTTATTTTTTTTGCGGTACGCAGGCCTCTCACTGTTGTGGTCTCTCCCGTTGCGGAGCACAGGCTCCGGACGCGCAGGCCCAGAGGCCATGGCTCACGGGCCCAGCCACTCCGCGGCACGCGGGATCTTCCCGGACCGGGGCACGAACCCGTGTCCCCTGCATCGGCAGGCAGACTCTTAACCACTGAGCCACCAGGGAAGCCCTCACTTGTTAATTTTTACAAGTAATTAGTCAAATCCAATAGAACTTTGTCAGTGATGATCATTACCCAGCTATTATCCGGCAGGTCTGTGGAATGTGCTAGGAACTTCGCTCCATTTACAGATTCCCAGGTAGAGGTGCCCTGTGATTGTGCGCTGGGTATAGCCACACGAGGTACATTTCCTCCAAACAAAAGCATCCTGAACACAATAAACTGGCTTAGGAAAATGAAATAGCTGAAGGCCTTTATTTAAAGTGTGACTCCCAATAGCGAGGTTTGGCAATAACGTCAGTCTGTGTCAGATGGATTGTAAGAGCTTTAGTCAGTGTGCAAATAGTCTGCAAAGCAAGACCTCGCCCAGCTGGAAAGACTGGGTTTGTCAGAAGG